GGTAGTGCGGCACTAGGAACTTGTCACGTGTTTGTTGGGCCGCTACGCATCTTATCCTTTCTCAGGCCTTCTTCTTGCTCTTTACCCGAAGACATTAGTGTCTTTTTTAAATTGGATGTTTAAGGAAAGCGTTGGTAGTTACATTGTATCACTTTTGGGCAAACGACTCCAGTGAGGCTTTCTGAAGTCAGATTCTTCAAGCACAGCTTGAAGATACAACCTCCTAGCCGGATCTCTGTGAGTTTGAGAATTTGAGGCAGCCTGATCTCCAAAGCTACACAGAGAAACCCTGTCTCAAAAAAAAAAAAAAACAAAAAGAAAAGAAAAGAAAAAGAAAAAGGAGAATACAACTTCTGCTGCCCAACGCCAGCTAGGAGAGGTCCCTCTTTGTCCTGCACAAAAGTCATTTATGTTTGGGGTAGGTACATGGCCTGGGAAGAAGAGGATTAGGGGGCCAGAATTGGGAAGCATGGTGTTTTATTCTCCTTGTTTTTAGATATACCTTAAATTATTTGTCTGTAGCAGATTATGTGCATGTCAGTGCAGGTATTCATAGCGGTCAGAAGAGGGCGTCGGTTCCTCCCCCCCCCCACCTGGAATTACAGGCAGTTGTAGGTGCTGGGTTCTCTGGAAGAGCAGTTCGAACTCCTAACCACTGAGCTATCTCTCCAGCTCCAGTTTACTAAATATTAAAAAAGAACAAGAAGTTAACCATGATGGCTAATGCCCATAATCTCAGTTCTCAAAAGGCTGAGGCAGGAGGATTTGAAAAACTCAAGGCCAGCAGGGACTACAGTGTGAGATTGTCTCAGAGAGAAACTAGCTCAGAATGTGGCCCAATTGATAGAGTAGTTGCCTGTTATCCAGCAAGCACTGGCTAGAGAAACACACACACAATTTACACATGTAATGAATGAATCCCAGAACGTGAGAAGTGGAGGCAGGAAAATCAGTGGTTGAAGGTTATCTTTGGCTACACGTCTCTAAAGCTATCTTGGGGATACTTAAGACTTTATCTCAAAAGCAAACCTTTATGTTTTAAATTTATTTATTCATTTGAGGAGCTGGAGAGATAGATAGCTCAGCAGTTAAGAGCACTGACTGTTCCTCCAGAGGACCTGGGTTCCTTTCTCGGCACACACATGATGGCTCATATCAGTTTTGTAATAGTTCCAGGGCATTCAATATTTCTTCAGCTTCTTCAAGCATTGCATGCATGTAGTATACAGATATACATTCAAGCCAAAATACCCATCCACATAAAAATAAATATGTATTTAAAAAAAACAGGAAATAGAAAACAATACTATACAAAGGAACTGGGAAATTGTCAGAAAGGAGAATTGGAAGGGAAACAACCCTCATTTAATAAATACATTAAAGTTAAGGAAAATCTGAGTAGAAGTGGGGGAGAATAGTCAGATGGAGATTGGACTAATTAACCAGAAATAGTTTAGAAATTACCTATGTAGAAAGAGAGCCAGGCCCAATGGCTCACACCTTTAATCTCAGCACTCTAGAATAGAAACAGACGCAGGCAGATCTCCATGAGTTCAAGGCCAGCATGATCTGCGTAATGAGTTTGAAGACAGGCAGGGCCACATAGCAAGACCTGTCTCAAAAGATGTGTGTGTGTGTGAGAGAGAGGGGGGGGAGGAGGGGATTGGGCAAGCAATTTAATTTCCTTCTCAGGGATGCTTTCCCAGGTCATTTACTGACTGTTTACTGTGTGCCCAGCCTTGTACTCAGCACAAGTTTCTTTTTCCTCAGAGCCTCAGTCTGAGGATTGAATGGGAGAGGACACAGACCTGTAAACAAATAATGGTGTCTGCCACGGACCCCCCCCAGCCGGGTATGGGAGTCCCTGGGATGAGGGTTCTTGAAGAATAGGTGGGTAAGGATTCGTCAGTGACAGAGACAAACCCAGAGGCAGTTTGAATCTGAGTGTATTTTGCAGTCCTCAAACGAGGTTTTTTATAGAGATACTTTCTCAGAGGATGTTTTTGTTAAACAAACCCAAACATATGACCTTATTGTTACTTGGCATAGTGACAAAGAAATCCAAAACATAGAATCATCCAGGGTTAATCAAAACATGGGATTTGTCCTTGATTAGTCAAAACATAAGACCCTCCTTAATTAACATAGTTATCATCCAAAGCTAACCGCATATTTCTTAAATTAATGTATTTTTATGGTCAGTTATTGCTTAACATCTAGTACCTAGTTCTTGTGCGTTTTTGAAGTATTGAGCTATTTTAACTATTTTAACTCTTTCTTATTAAAAGCTTTCGTTACCAGACACTTAAGCCCACTTTCAATGACACATGTATAGCCATATGAAATTTTATTGTTGGGAAAGTTTTTACTATTTGTACTTATATGAATGATGTGAATGATTTGGTTATTTTGCTTGTTTGTTTCTTTTAGAGACAGGGTTTCCTGTGGCTTTGGAGGCTGTGCTGGAACTAGCTCTTGTAGATCAGGCTGGTCTCGAACTCACAGAGATCCTCTGCCTCTGCCTCCCGAGTGCTGGGATTAAAGGCGTGTGCCACCAGCCCGGCTGGGATGGTTTCTTATCTATTTATTTTGTTTAAAATGTTAGCATGGGGGGGGGCTGGAGAGATGGCTCAGAGGTTAAGAGTAACGACTGCTCTTCCAGAGGTCCTGAGTTCAATTCCCAGCAACCACATGGTGGCTCACAACCATCCGTTATGAGATCTGGTGCCCTCTTCTGGTGTGCAGATATACATGGAAGCAGAATGTTGTATACATAATAAAAGAATTAAATCTTTAAAAAAATGTTAACATAGGCTTTTAGGAACATTTTGTTAATGTGGAAAAGAAGGGATAGAAGAACAAACAGAAATTGCCACGAGAATCACAGCCCAATATTTTTCTCCGACTGAGAGTTCCACAACCATTTCCAGGAGACCTCTTTCTTTTGAAATTATTGCTCAGTCTGTGGAACTTGTCACACAGAATCTACTGGATTTTGGTGTGGCAGGTGTCCAAGCATGGTGGCAGAGGCAGATGGATGTGTGAGTTCCAGACAGGCTGGTCTACATATTGTGTTCCATGCCAGCCAAGTCTGTACAGTAAGACCCTCTATCAAAACAACAAAAGTAAACTGGTGACAAGAGGGAGCTGGAGACATGGCTCAGCAATTAAGAACACTGACTGTTCTTTCAGAGGTCCCACATGACAGCTAACAACTGTCTGTAATTCCAAGATCTGACCCCCTCACACAAACACACAGGCAAAATACCAATGCACATAAAATAAAAAAAAATTATTTTAAAAAAGAGTGCTATTGAAGGGCGGTAGTGGCTCATGCCTTTAATCCAGCACTCGGGAGGCAGAGGCAGGCAGATCTCTGTGAGTTCCAGGCCAGCCTGGTCTACAAGAGCTAGTTCCAGGACAGCCTCCAAAGCCCAGAGAAACCCTGTCTCGAAAAACAAAACAAAACAAAAAAGTGCTGTCTTATCTGCTCTTAGAAAGCTCTAGCCTAGACTGAGGGAAAAATTAGGAATGTGTTTTTAGGTTCCCCAGAGAAGGTGTGATGTGGATCAGTTGTTGGAAAGAGAATTGGAAGAAAATAACAAGGAGGAAACTATTTCTAAAGGGGAAGAAGGCACTCCATCAACTGTTGCTCTGGCTTTTAAGAAAAGGACTACTGCCAGGGTGATGGTGGTGCATGCCTTTAATCCCAGGACTCGGGAGGCAGAGGCAGGTGGATCTCTGTGACTTCAACGCCAGCCTGGTCTACAAAGAGAGTTTCAGGACAGGACTGTTACACAGAGAGACCCTGTCTTGGAAAAAAAAAAGTGTGTGGGGGGGGGAGAAAAGCAAAGAGGAGGACAACTAGAAGAAAAATTGCTAAGGGCTGGAGAGATTGCTTAGTGGTTAAGAACACTGTTTGTTTTTCCAAATGCCCCCCCCCCCCCCAGTTCAAGTCCCAGCACACACATGGAGGCTTACATCTGTCTCTAACTCTAGTTCCAGGGCATCTGATAGCCATTTATTACTATGAAGGCACCAGGCTCACACATGGTACACAGACATACATAGGAACACAACATTCATATATAATAAATAATATTTATAAAAAATAGATGTTATGCATCTTTAATCCCAGCACTCGGGAGGCAGAGGCAGGCGGATCTCTGTGAGTTTGAGGCCAGCCTGGTCTACAGAGCGAGTGCCAGGATAGGCTCCAAAGCTACACAGGGAAACCCTGTCTCGAAAAACCAAAAAAAAAAAAAAAAAAAGAAGAAGTA